CTTCCCCTTTTTCTTTTTCTTGTCCCTCGGCGACGTCTTGGGGGTGTCTCCACTAGCGGTCTTCTCGGCCTTTGGGGCTGGAGCTGCCTTGGAAGTTGCGGGGTGCTGCCATGGGCAATCTTTCCCCCTCTCACATCTGTTCGCTTTGAAGAACTTGCACACCTGGGGCTTCGAACCAGGAGGACTCTGCGAACGATACTTCCTTGGCGTCTGGGGTCTGGACCCGCCCTTCTTGCCTTTCCCCTTACCTTTCGGTGCCTTAACATGTTCGAATCGGCAGTCTGAACCATAGGTGCACTGGCCAGTTTGAAATTTGATGCATACACCCTTGGGGATTCCAGGAACTGCAGGGTTGTTCGATGGAGTCCTGCCACGCCCCGTTGTGTTGCTTGACATAGCATCCCGCATGTGAACAAGCCTCTTGCGCTCCAAATAATTCCTCGATGCGTCAATCAAGAATTTATAGGAGTGCTTTTCCGTACCTTCCTCAGCTCGCTCATACTCATTGAGATCATGACTGAGGGGCCGAAACTTTCGAATCTGGCGGTGGAACAGCGCTTCGAGGGTCTTCTCATTTTGCTCATTGCCCATTCCAGCGATGACCGTGTCCCATCTCGTCATGAAATTTCTGAGGTCCTCGTTGATGAGCTGGACAGAGAGCAAGTCCTCAAAGTCGTAAATTGCACCATGTTTGATGTTCGTGCTGAAGTGCTTGTGAACCATCAGAAGAATTTGGCGCCCCCTCGCATAGCGTTTCTCCTTTGCTTCTTGTTCTTTGAAAATGTCCACTTGCCGCGCGAGGTCGCCCTCCAAGATATTCGTCAACGCCGATGCCAGCTTTGCATCAAGATGGACAAACATTCCTGAATCACGAAGGACTTCAACAGTTTGACCTGGGATCCAAGTTGCCTCAATCCATTCGAATGCCTTTTCGGGTTGGTCGGAAGTAGCAACAACAGCATCCCTAACTTTGATCCTCCAATTACGGTACTGTTCGGGCTTCGGGAATCGGGGAATCTGAATTCTGTCACCCTCCTTTACACGAACGCGTTCCGCTGTCGGATCGCTCGAATTACCTAGGTGCTTCAGTAGCTTTCGTCGAAAAGATTCATCCGATGCAGTCGAAGTTGATGACGAAGATGACGAGGGAGAAGATGACGGATCTCGTCGCCGGCGTCGGCTACGGTCCTTCTTCTTTTTCTTCTTCTTCTTCTTTTTCTTGTCCTTGTCATTTCCACCATCACCATCATCGCAAGGCCAACCGTCTCCGGTAGCAGCATCGTCCACGGCCCCGGCGGGAACAGATCCGTCTTTGCCGTAGGGGTCGCTCCCGACTTTCGTCCAACTGTGCGAGGAAGCATTCGAAAGTCCGGGTGGAGATGCAGCCAAAGGAACTGTCGGGATAGCCAAGGGGGTAGCTGGTGCCTGCTGAACCGGAGGCGCAGGAGCTGGAGCAGGTTGAGCAGGCGGTTGCTGTTGGTTCTGCATCATCTGCTCGACCATAGCCCTTAGCTCTCTGATCTGCTTCTCCTGCTCGCTGATCGTGTTCATGGCGTTTTGGTACTTCATCTCGGCTTCTCTTTCTGACTTCATGGTGTTCGCACGCTGCTCCGCATTCATCTGAATCTCGCGTCTCATGGTCTCCGACTGGCTTTGGAGACCGGCAATGATCTCACCATGCCTTGCCTCCGCCAGCTGGGCGACCATGGGACCGGTGTCCTGATTCACGAACTGGTTGAATTGGGCATTGTTCTGGGTAGCGTTGATCTGCTGATAATTCGTCACGTCCTGGTTGATCGTCATTGATGGATCGAGGTGGACGTTCGCAACATGTTGGTTGAACTGATTCATGGACTGTGGCATAGGGTTTCCCCTTGCGAGGTCGGTCTGGGGGTCGTACATGACGATGTCACCATGCCGATGCCGATCTGATCCTACAGGAGAAGGAGATCGAGCACCAGACCGCCCAGCCCTCCCACGGTCACTCCGGGATCGGAGTGATTCGGGGCCCTGACTGCTCAGTGCTTGTCCCTTCCTGATGAGCTCCCTGGCCACTTGGGAGTTTGCTCGACTAGTCGGTTCATATTGCGAGGCGTCCTCATCGCCTGCTGGCTCACCAGGTGTGGGACGCACCTCGGTATGGGGTAGTCCAGGGTCGCCATCCATGGCGTACAACTCTGTACAAAGAGCCGCTTACGGCTGATAACCTATAGAACAGGTTAAACAACCGGGAAGGGTCACAATTGAACCCTGTACTCAGCGCGCTTTTTCCTTGAGCCACGTGCAGTCGTAATGATGAGACTGCACAAGTGAGACATGCATGCATTGGGGTTTACATGGTTGATAAATACATCACGTTGCAAACTACACATGGAAAGCATGGGATGGGAGGCATGGGAGGTGCTGGTGGCGGTGGCCCATCCTTGCACCGCAAAGGCACCGACAACGACGGCCCAACACCTCCACAAACAAAGGCAAACTCAAAGCACAGCTCAGCTAAGCTCGACGTCAGCTCCATTTTGCCCAGGCTTAAATACCCGGATAGATCAGGCTTCGGCAAGAATCACAACTGGTTGTGTGCCAAAATTGGCAGCCATGCTTCAACTCCACAACAGCCACAATCTTCACTGAAACAATTCCTGCAACAGCCAGTCATTGCTTTGCACGACAAGCTGATTGGCACTGATTGAGGCGATGTGTGGAGCACGGCCAGCAAATGCAACAGCCCGAGCTTGAAGAACGCTGACATTGGTTGGGCGATGCCTAAACAGCCATGCTACCAAGGTGGAAACTGACCTTTTCTTGAAAGGGTTCTGAAAGAGTCCGGAGAAACCTTGCCGGGGGAGGAGGGTGCTAAGGCCTCTCATCAGCTACGTCCACCAACCACCAACAATCCATTCTTCTGCTCCAGAGATGCACAAAAGACTTGGCCAACCCGCACTTCACAGGTCAACCAGCCAAAATTGCAAAAATGCAGCTCAAAAGGCGCAAAAGGCAGGCCCTTGAGTTGTTGTCCGAATTTCAAATAGCCAAAAAAAGATCAGAAAATGGTGTGGCGAGCGTGGCTCCGCAACACACCTGCTGCAGTACATGGATGTTTTCCGCAAAGCTTCTCGATGCGTTGTCACACGTAGCACTTCTCTAGGAAAGCATGCCTGCCCGAGGCACTTCGGCCTCTGCCCATGCATCACAAACCTTACTGGCTGGTCAGATGGATGTTTTCAGATTACAACTTCTGCGCTGAGACTTCTGCCAAACTGGATCTCGTCCTCAGAAGAGTCGCTGTGAAAGACCTCAATAGTGTGGTAAGGGATGCCCCCAATCACAAGCAAAGGCAGTGGCGTCGTCATCTGACTCGAGCCATGGACCTGCAAACTGAAAGGATTCAATTGACACCAAAGCGAAAAGGGGCGGAGAGGGAGGGAGACAAAGTGGAGGAAAGGGAGAGGACGGCCTAATTGCAAGTAAGGAACGGAAGGAAAGGCAAGGGGAGGCAAGCAAAGAAAAGGGGAACAAAGTGATGTGGCCCGGCCGCCCAACACGCCCAACGAACAGCACTTGTCAAAGCCCACAATGCCAGAGATTGAGGAGGACTCGGGCAAGTGACTACCACGAGGCCGAAGTCACCCTAGTCAAGCACACAGACTAATCGCGTAACATACAACTAAATTCGTGCTGCAAAGGCAAAAAAGAGGTGTGTTGTTGACCTACTGGTCAGCAGGCCTTCTGATCTTTAACCGTTCTCATTCGCGACACAGGCAAATTGAGTGGCAGCTGGCGTCACAACACCAATGCCAAATAAGCTAACATGCTCCTGAAGCCCGGACGCGCTTGAGACTCTGAACGTTGACATTCGCCCAACACCTGGGCAAGGCCAGCGCAATGCGTGCAATGGAAAATGAAAGCTGGCATGTAAGGCCCCAACGCGGTTTGCCAGCCACTGCACGCCTCTAAGCACTGGGCGAGCGGCACCTCGACAATCGCAAGGGCAAACCCAAACGCGGATAACTCTGGGCAAATGAGCTCGCCGCGAACAAGCTTGAGAGCTGGTGACAATGGCTCCTGGCATGGGAGGCGCGCATAAACTGACATCCGACTCAAGCATTGCATTTGCGAGGGCTCTTCTTTTGGTGCAACGCTTGACAAGTTTGGCTCTCTGAGGCTGCCACCAGGTTTGTCTGGTAAGCAGGGGTGCGCGGACCAGTGGACGAAGGCAAGACATGGTTTCACACGGTATCTGGCCCCGAACAAAGCTTGCAATGTAAAATGCGAATTAAACAATGGCAACTGCAGGCAGTTGCTTCAACCATGAATCTGTTCAGGCAACACTCTGGAAGCCACAAGAATAATCGACATGTCCGCTGCCAAAACTTGGCGCGTACCAAAAGAACGAGACCGGACTGCCCTGAAGATCAGAACAAGCTACGCTGATTCAAAATTCACATTAGGCTGCAAAAATAGAAATTCGCAAAGCCAAGCAAGGTCCACAGCTTGGCCTCGTTCAAAAGTAGCAACATGCTGGCCCTGGTGGACCGCATTCACGGATTGGGTTTTTGAGCATGCAGCTGAATTGGTTCCGAGAAGCTCGAAATTTGACTGGGCGCCATGCGCCAGCCTGGGTAATGGCCCGCTTTTAGGCAAGCTTCCCGCTGTCCAGGTCACAAGCGAGTCTTACAGCAAATGTCACACTCCAATAGCTCCAAGCAGGTCAATGTTTGACCCACAATGGTCTTAATGCTGCACTCACCTGACAGCACAATGGGGGACCTGCGCGTGCTGTTTGTGGTCAGCTGAGCTGCCGAAACATGGCCGCGGAGCAAATCAATGTGAGTCGCGTCTCCAAAATCTCTATATCAATATCTGTCCAAATGCGCTCCCACATCCACAGGCTTAATTCTTTGCCCAAGCCAGCGGCGAGGAATGCACCTCCTAAAGAAAAGGGAAGCCTGACGCTGTGCCGATGCAAACTGGGCAAATCTCCAAGGAAACTGAGCAAAGGTTGCCACAAGCACAAAACGTGTTGCAGGGCCACAGTCCGAACTTCCCTGGTGCATCTCGTATGGTCACGCTAAGGCTAAGGAGTGCGAAGCAAGTGAACCAAATGCCAAATCGCAGACCATGCCCTGTTACTCTCAAACGCTTTCTGCGGACCCTTCAGCTGCCGCCATTAGGTCGAATGTCACACGGCACAGGGGGCACTTGCTCCTTGGATGCACAAGTTCCACTCAACCAGCATCAAGCAAATCATCCCCCGGAGCTGCCAATCGGAGAAAGCTTAGGCTGCGGCGATTGAGTGGAGCGAGAAGCAGCCCAAGCCGCTATACAAGGCTCGCAGAAAAAGTGACCACACCTGTGCTGATGCTATTTGCTGGCTTTCCACACGTGGCAGTGTTTCACAAACAGAATGCTGGATGCGGCATTGAGGCAATGACGGTAGCACGGCCACCTTGGCAAGCAATCAATACACGACCCCACCCGTTCAACCAGGCGCCAGCCGCATATATGCAGCAATCCCAGCCAAGAACATGTGGCCCTAGAATCAAGCCGTAAGCCTGGTCGCAACAAAACTCGACCCAATTAGCCTGCCAGGGTGTCCCATTTGAACTCCGGTCTCGATTTGCCTTTGCTGTATTTTGCTATTTGCGCGGAGGCCGTTGCAACGCTTAGATTGAAGCAGGAACCCAAAAATCACTTTTGCACGGTGCCTGTCGTGGAACGGCAGTCGTCCCCACCCCCAACCAACGCACTGGAACCGTGCACCTCCATGTTTGGTGGATATGGACACCCTGGCCACAGTCACATCAGTGTTTTTACCTTCAAGCTTAGCAACGCACAATCAGGTGCTGGCGCAAGCATTGGTGATTCCCAGCAGCTACTTCAGGCACTGGTGGGTGATGGATGAGCTTGGGTGCTGGCTCTGTCTGGGTCTGCTGCTGCTGCTGCTGCTGCTGCTGCTGCTGCTGCTGCTGCTGCTGCTGCTGCTGCTGCTGCTGCCAAGGCACTGTATCAAGAGCGCCAAACTCCTGGGCCACAGCCGTCCAACATTGAACGCCACACATTTCAGCGCTCATTGCCCTGGCTGCCGAGCTTCCGAGAGGCAGCATGTGCAGCTGACTGCCTCATCCCTAGCCAGGCTGATCTCGGTGGCCTGCCGTTCTGCGGCTGTGCCAAGGTCTTTCGCATGTAGCAAATGCTGATTGAATCATTGAAATTCATTGAATATACTGTGTGACTCACGCGTGACCCTTGAACCATTGACTGCCCCAGCAACATGCTCCGTCTGAGCTTGCATCCTTCTTGAGCAATGCTGGTCCGTACCATTCCTCTGCCCGCCAATTGTCAGTGCGCTTGATTGATCTATGTCGCAGAGACGCCGTTGCAATTTTGCAGGCTAGCGTGAAAGCAAAACTGGAGGCGAGGCACGTATTGTCCACTGGCTTGAACTGCATAAGTCTGGAAAGCGGGGGGGGCTGCGCCCATCTGTATAGCTCCTTAGCTGCAAATGCTGCAAACACAAAGGCACATGTCTCTGCCATGCTTTCGGCTGCCCAAGCTGTGCAACGCAAATACCGACATCTGTTACATCCACCAGGCAGCGAAAAGGCATTCGTGCCCATATGCGGTATTTTGCGGGACTCTGAGAGCGAGCATCCTTGCCGCAGCGCTTAAGCAAGAAGCAAAGTTGAAGCACTAAGCTCCAGCCAACTGTCCTCTGAAGCAGTAAGCTTCAGCGTCACGCAGCCAGCTCCAGCCATACCAACGAACCTAATTCTGCTGCCCCTCTTCAGCTACAGCAACCGCTGAAAAGTGCAGCCAAGCCACAGCACTAAGATGCCTATAAAGTTCCTCAGGCCACCCGGCAGGGCGGTATTTGCAAGGGGCGACCATTACAAAGAGCTTGCAAAAACATGCGTTGCGCTCCACCCACGCTCCTAAGAAACTTGCCATCATTCTTCTCGCCATAAGGATCGAGAGCCGAACATTTGCACAGCTCAGCTGTGAAGTGCAGAGTCTAACTTTGAAACTCTAAAAGTGGCCTCTGGAGAATCACTCTTGGGACTGGAGGCCCTTCAGCCAGGCATCGTGAAGTCCATAACTTCTGGTGACCATTGCGACTCCCCCATGACAGCACCCAGAATGGAGCCAAGAACAAAGCAAACGGCAGCCATCAGCCCAGTGCACAGCCTGAGCTTCCATGTCCGCACTTGTGCATGCCAGTGCGCAAGGGCAAATACGGGCCCACGCAAGCCCCTCTTCATGCCACATTTTGGCAACATTGAGCTCAGAGCGATATTGCACAGATCCTGTTCAAGTGCAAACTCTGAAAGCTGGGAACAGCAACAGATCACCGAATCACTAGGTACCCGAAACAGTGCTATCAAATCAACTCAATCCAAATATCACACAGGAGGCCAAGGGTCCTCCACCAGAGTTGGCCTCGCTGCCCTTCGTTTGGGGCTCTGGCCTGGCCCGGTGCGAAACCCTCTAAGTAGATCAAGCGCACGGCCCAAGAAATGCAGAGGCCGATTTGGAATTCAAGTGAATTCAACACAGGCCGACTTGGCGCCAACTGTCTGTGGAATCACAGTCTCGAGCTCCATTGATGGCAAGTTGGCTTCACCATGAAGCCCGTTCTGCCTTAGTGTAACTTTGCGCTAGGTCGATGGAATCGCATCTCTTGTTATACTGTTGCCGCGAAACACCCTGGAAGCCGGGACTTGCCTCTCCAGGTCATTCTCCGCTTGTGCAGCCTTCAAGTACAAAACAGTGCCGTGTGACATGGGTAGAGTATTTCCAACAAATCCGCTCAAAAGAATGGCGGAATGTTTCCATCATGTTGCAATGGGCTCACCCCAGGCCAACATTTTTCTGAAATGCTTTAGCACGTGTATCCCGGCGGCCGCCGGATTCGTGGGCCGGGTTCGTCAATCGGTGTTAAATATGCATCCAAGTCAAACACTCAGCTATCGATCACCCTTCTCAATTCAACTTCCAGCATGCAAACTAAAATCGAAACAAGCCACACTACCACCATATTCAATTCCTCTGGTTGCTACCTGTTGCTGACTGACTCAGGCAAATACTGACTCAAAAGCAAAAGCTGCATTTCTTTGTATGCTGGATGCGCAAGGAACAAATGTGCGTTTACACGGAGAACCTGACACAAACACGCAGAAACACCCCACTCGCAGCCTGTTGCAAATGCAAGAGAAAAACAACCGAAACTTCATACCATCAGACTGGGGCTTCTACGGTTACTGCAGGCATCTTCCATGCAGCAGACCCGGCTAGGACATGCTGGCCAACCAAATGCGGCGGTCAAGGAAGGAAGACTAGTGCACATGCGGCACATGTGCATGTAGGCATGCCAACTGAAGCAAACATGAGGCAGTCCTGCAAAACATTATTGGGCCGCCTTGGCTCGCCAACTTCAGCTGGCAGGGTGAAGCCACACACGCACCGATACCACAGCAAACATGGCAAAAGGTGGCACGCTCCCCCTTCTTAGCTGTTAGCTGAGCCGATCCTTATGGAAACCGGATCCTGGTTTGGCTTTGGCAACTTAACGTGCAATGGCATGTGGTACGGTCTCCGAGTGCGTGGGCTAGTGGGGATGGCATCTTGTCAGCTGAGTCAGTGCTAGGGCGCCCGCTGCGCAGGTTCCTCCTGGCAATGCCACGGGTTGCGCCAAAGCAAGGAGCGCTCACACAAACGCGAGCCCAACCACGAATAAAATGATGAAACTCCCCAGCAAGAATTGGCTGGTGATGGTCCCAACCGGAACCGTTTAGCCGCGGCACGGCTGGACCATCCTTTGCGTTGGTCCATGGTAGGGCGCGGTGGGGTGGGGGAGGGTGTGAAACATGCTTGTCTCTTGTTTTGAGGGGGTTCTGCTCAAGCGATTTTTTGTGTCTTGTTCGGGGCAAGTTGCCAACCCAAGCATTCAAGCAGCACGCGTCCAACAACCTCTTCAAAAAGAGGCACTCCAGACCTCTGCTTCCTCTACCCCACCCCCGGTCTCCCCGCGTCCCCCCCCCATTATGTTCCTTGGAGTTGCTTCCTCTACCACGTTCCCCCCCCCCCCCGCTTTCTTGGGTTTCTGCAGCGAGTGCTGCAATGGTAGCGATTGGGCTCCTAAAGTGAATGCTCACTTCGGTGATGAGGTTCACGAAGTCACTCTGTCAAGTCGGCTGGCGACTATTTTCCACTCGGTGCGAGGGCCTCTATGGCTCCTAGCGAGCTCTGCCTGGGTGAGCAAAAGGGGGCCCCCTGAGCCACATGCCATGCATGTATCAACCATGCTGAATCCGTGTCCTGAGTTTGGCTGTTGCACCAGGACAAAAGGGAAATCAGCTGTTTTCTACGAAAAAGCTGAATCTAACTCAGGCCATGCGCTCAGGGGTGGTCGGTCCGGATCATGTTCGGGATGGGGAGCGTCATCAATCTGCTGAACGGCAGATTTTCCTACCTTCTTGTTCTTCTTCGCGGCAGTGAAGCTGGGATCATAGGCGATGCACCAGTGCCGTTTGCTGAGGAACTTCTGCAAACCTAGACGGCACTCGGCTCTCTTCTTGGTGAGGGCATCGGCAAGGTCATAGTCGGAGGCTAGCCAACGAAGTTCACAGCCAACGGATTCTCCCTCAGCTGAAAGGCTTGAAGGGCTGAGCGAAGGTTTGACAAACCAAGCGGCGGCGACTCGTTGAGCTCCACCGCATCATAGCCACCTCGGGAATCTGTGCAAAGGATTCCCCGAATAAGCAAAACTTGTTGTTCAGCAGCGGTGGTCAGGTTGGTGCGATCATGTTGTCGGGCAAGGCCGCCACCATGAATCTCAGTCCAGAGAAGACGGGCTCTGAAGTTCAGGTCTTCGGCCTCCAGGATGGATTGCACTTCGGCATCGTTGCTGCCGATGGCTTTGCGCCGCAGTTTCCATGTGCGCCATGCGATGACCATCATGCGGGCAACACGACCATCCAAGCATTCGGGGCCGCTGACCAATGTGATCATGCCGCCAGTGCTGTCCCCTTTCGGACGATTGCAGTGTGCCTGGTCGCCCATCGAGATGAAGACCAGGTCTGACCAGTGCTCCGCAGTGGGTACCTTGTGGAACTCGAGGTTGTAGGACTCACGCCTGACCTCGCCAATCATCTGTTGAATTTCGCGGGCGGTCTCCAACGTGCCATTTGTGACCACTTCCGTGAGCAGCAAATTGCATCGGGCGCAGATTTGTGGCTGTGTCTGCACCGCTAACCACTGCATTGCACCAAGGGAAGTGCGGCATGCTCCAACTTCATAGGGAGACAGGGGTCCATGTCGCCGTAGGCGATCAGGTGAAATGGCAACATCGGGAATGGCTGACGGAGATCTTGAAGGTGCCGTCATCGGCGTTCATGATCTCCACATCGGTGCCGGCGTGCCTGTAGGAACGCATTTTGACGGTTCCCCACTTGTAGGCTTGATCAACCTTGTGCATGATGTCGGGCCATTCGTTGGAGTTCCTGTCTCCAATCCGGTGAAAATCATCCACGTGGCCGCCCATCATGCCAATGAGGCGTGGGAAGCGACCGGTGCTCTCCTTCTCGAACTGTGAGAACCATAGCCAAAGGCAACGTTCTCCAAGGGCAGGTACAGCTCCTAGGCCAACCAAAGTCTTGTGCAGGTCTAGCCATAGGCCTCGGGGTGCTGTTGTTGAACCATAGATGTTGGATCTTGAGAAGCGAGCCTTCAGGAACGTTGAGAGCTTCTTGCAGCTCCTTGACTCCCGTGGTCCATAGGTTGGCGTCGGCCTCAGTGAGTCTGCAGGAAGGCTGTGGCAAGGTCCAGGCCTTCTAGTGGCCATTGATGGTGAGCTGAGGCAACGTACAGCAGGCTTCTTCCAAGATTGGATTGAACCGGCGCCGCAGTCTTGAAGGTCGGGTCCAGCAGGCTCGGGTGTTGGAAGCCCAGCAAGACTATTCTTGCCTTGGCCTTCTTAGCGCCATCCTTGGTGTGAAGGGTGTTCGGGTTGTCGACGGCGTCCTGGGAGGCTTCTTCGCGTTCGGCAGGTGGAACAACTTTCCAGGTCAAGACCCAACGGGCCTTGAGAACTCTTGCTCTGCCGTAGGCGTCCTTGAGCTCGTTGTCGTTGAGGCATTTGCGAACGGCTTCATTCTTGATGAAGGAGTCCACTTCCTTGGTCTTGGCTCTTGCGAAGAGCGAGCGGTCCGTTCTGAAGGCTGACCTCGGAGTTGTTCATTTTCTTGACCAGGAAGTTGACCGGGTTGTTGATCAGGGCTTTCCGCTCCTTGTTGGAGTTGAGGCCGAGATCGATGTGCATGACGATGGCTTCGTCGACCTCCTGGAGAGCGGTCAGGACGTCGTAGTGTGTGATCTCTTGAGCAGCTTCGGCTTGAAGAGCTTCAACCCATTGAAGATCATAGTGTTGAGTCACGAGATCATCGTTGTCGTTCTCGAGGCGAGGCTTCTTAGATGCAGATGGACGAGCATCGCTGCCATCTCCATAGTCGTTGACTCCGATTGGACCAGTGGTGGACGTAGCATCAGGTGGTCGTGCCGATGAGGAACTACTGGGCTGGCCGGGTTCGTTAAGGACTTCAGTGGGAGTTGCTGGTGGTGGTGGTACAAATGAGGTTGAGCGAGGTGTCCTGAAGTTGATGCCGATGGGGGTTGAGCGATGTACCTGGCGATAGTCGGTGGGACCATAGGTCGTTTTCTTCACGGCTCGCCGAAGAGGTACGATAGTAGTTGGATCTGGTGCTGGAGGGAGATCAGGAAGTTCGATCTCTTGCTCCGTCGGTTCCTCATTTGTGATGTCCTCGAACTCGCGCTTGGGAAGGATGTCGGCCAGGGTCTTCCATTTCGTGGGATCCTCGCCGGACGTGAGGTCGTGCTGGAGTTGCTCGGTGACGGTGACAGGTCTCACCGAGTGCACTGAGCAGCGTAGGAGTCTGTTCCCGATCAAGACCCATAGGATGTGCCTTCTGCGGTCGCCTTCTTCCTGATGGTGAATCAGCTCTTGGAAGACGACACATCCAGGCCCAATCCAGTATGGCTTGCCGGATTTCTTGTGACCACCTCGAGGTCCTCAATGTTGATCGGAAGGATGAACATGGCGCCAGACCTTCACCAGCTCGAAGGGTGTGAAAGTCCTCAAGGGCTGCCGCACGGAGGTGTTGGCAAGCTTGCTGAGGATCCGTTGGGAACGAGTCTTCCGAGCCACCTCCTCTGCGTGCTGGCGAGCTTGGGTGAGGCTGATGTAGTCGGAAGTTGGATCGATGAGCTGGTGCGTGCGAATGTCCTCATCCGTGATGGAGTACTCTGTGCCAAATGCCCATTGGTGAGCAGAGTATCCAGCCGTGTACTCTCGGTCGAGTTCAGGGCTGAACATGCGAGGATCAAGGTGGTGTATGCGTCCTGGTCCAGAGCTTCTAGGTGAATGGTTGCTGTGCGCTTGACATCTTGGATTGCAGCTTCAACCACTCCATGAGCCCAAGGTTCCTTCTCCGGCGGGACGACGGCTTGAATGTTCTGGTTATTGAGGAACTCAGCGAGGTTGTGGGAGGTGAAGGCTTTGGCAGAGTCAGCTACCACGATCTTCGGCTTGGGGTAGTGCATGAGCCAACCAACTGTGAAGGCTGCAATCACGTCTTCAGCGTTTTCGGCTTGTTGGGTCATGTTGTCGTAGATCTTGATCTTGACAACGGCTCGGAGCTTGGTGGCCAGGTCGATCATCAGGACGAACTTGGCCTTTAGCTTGGTGCCGGGGATGTGCCACTCAGAGATGTCCATGCCAACGGCTTCCCAAGCCTTGTAGAGCTGGTGAGTCGACGCAGGTGGAATCTGGCCAGAGCTGGTTCCGCCCTTCTGTAGTGATTCACATGCCGGGCATTTGAAGTCCAGAACGGCTTGAACCTTCCAAGGTGGTTGGTCGGCATCACGTACAATTCGTGCCAGATTGCGATTCGTAGGACCTGCAGATCGATGAAAGCGGGCCACCTTCGCCTTCCACTGCTGCAGCTCCTGAGCGGTTGGACCATCTCCGCCAGCGGGTTGTGGGGGTTGTGGAGCAGGTGCTGGCTTGAGGTTGATCCGAAGGTGCGGGAGCTGGTAGTTCGTGAGGTTGTGGTGGAAGTGCTGACTCGGGTTCTGGTAGTTCATGAGGTGAAGGGTGAGCTTCGGCAGGTAGTCCATAGAGTTCGCTCATCAACTCCGTATCGTCCTGGTTGCCATGCTGGTGCTTGAGGAAGAGCAAACGAAGATTGCGGTCGGAGATGAGTTAGTCTCCTCCAGCAGCGGGCAATGGACTGAACCATCCG